CTAAGAAAGGGCGCGATCAGATAAGATGCTTGACCCCACCGACTTCCACAGGACTCTCTCACTTAGCTTTCCACTCGGGCTTCAATAGAGTGGGCGTCCTATGCGCTAGGTTCAGTCCAGAGCCTTACTGCAGCCATGCTGCTACCTCCCCGAGATGGCGTCAAGCCGTGAAGCTTCACGACTCTCCACAAAGAATCAACCTAACAGAGGAAGGGAGCCAGACGCGCCCGAGCGGCAGGTCTCTCGAGACTCAAGTCTTCCCCAGTTGAGCGCTTAACCCCGCCCCCTCCCATGCCTGCCAATCAGAGCTTCCTCCACCGGATCTTCTAGGTTGGTGCCTGCCCCGGAAGCCGCTCCCTCTTTGCAGCCACACCTGGGCGGAGCCAGCCTTTTTACTGGCTCCCGGAGCTGCCCGTCGCGCGGAGGCGGGAACCGTTGGGAAACGGGGGGGCCCCTCGCGCCTGCGTAGACCACAGCACGCCGCGCGCGGGAAGCCGCTACGGGCGCCCAACCGTTCCCTGCCTCGGGACGCCGGCGCCTCAGGCGGAGCCTCTGGGAGGAAGAGGAGGGCAGGAGCGTAACTCCTCTGGCCCGGGACCGCGGCCGGGGCGGGACCCGGGACCGAGTCGCCTTGGAGACGCTGACCGGGGCGGAGCAGGTAGGTGGCCGCCCCGCCCTGCCTGACTGCGCTGTGGCCATCCGGCAGCGCCGCGGCACTGGGAACCCCTTGCCTCCCCTCAGGCTCAGTAAGACCTGGGTGTTGTCTTTCCCCCACGTGGTGTCTTTACGGCTGGGCATCAGGCTTTTTTTTTTCTGTGCAAAACGGTGGCGGTGAGTTTGCCCTGCCCGGAGGACAGCAGCAGTTTGGGGGCAGGAGGATGGCTCTGAAGAGCGTGCTGCCATCTGCCAGCGGCTTTGATAAGAAGCGACGCCCGGCTGGACCTGAGGCCCGGAGCGCGGCTGCCGTTCCGGGGGTCCAGCTCCAGACAGCTAGAGTTAGGAACCACGGCATGGAGCATCCTCCTGGCCTCTCACTCTACTGCCTTTCGGTCTTACTGTTTCCCCCTGATGTGAGAGAGCTGAGCAGGATCTGTGGGTAGCTGAAGACCAGAAATAGGAGTGATCATCTTTGGGGGGGGGGGGGGGGGGCGTGACCATTGTTGGATTGTGTTTGGAGGAAGCAGAGGAGAAAATGTCAACCTGGAGCATCGTGGTCTAGAGGAAGCAGCGTTTGTATAGATGAGCTAGTTGGGCAGAGAGAAATGTGGTTACTTGGGAGGACATTGCCAAGCCGGCATCCCTGGAGCTGCGTTCATATAGACCTACTTTTAAAAGTCTAGGAACTTAGTAAACAAGGCCCTGACCCCCCTCGATTTTCCTAAATCGACTTTGAATCGACCAAGAGTGTTCGAACTCCTCTTCCTCTTTAGTAAAGTTGTTATAGTGATACCCATTTGTGCGATGATTGAGGGCATGTTCCTAAATTACTTAGTAAATATCACTTCAGATTGATTAGTTGAGTCTTCCTTCAGTCTGAGGTCCTTGGAGAGATTGGAAAGAGCAATATCAAACTGGCTCTGAACTGCTCATCTATAGGACCAGCTTCCTCCCAGCCCTGTGTGGAATCATTGTTCATAAGCTGATAGTTAAAAAATAAATAAAAGGTAGGTGGGGCATGGTGGTGCATGCCTTTTGTCCCAGCAGAGACATGTGGAGCTCTGAATTCTAGGCCAGCTTGGTCTACATAGCAAGTTCCAGAAGTACATAGAGAGACCTTGTCTCAATGAAATAAAGGTACTTGAAATGAAAAAGAAGTGTTCACTACCTAAGTTCTAAGCTTAGTAGAGATCTGAAAATTTCTGGAAATAGACAAATAATATAAATTACCATGTCTACTATTTTCAGTAACATTGGTCAATACTGGTTTCTTTTAAGTGGAAATTTTTAATTAGAAGAAATAAAACAAGCCGGGCGGTGGTGGCATACCCCTTTAATCCCAGCACTCAGGAGGCAGAACCAGGAGGATCTCTGAGGCCAGCCTGGTCTACAAAGTGAGTTCCAGGAAAGACGCAAAACTACACAGAGAAACCCTGTCTCGAAAAACCAAAAAAAAAAAAAAAAAAAAAAAAAAGAAGAAGAAGAAGAAATAAAACAGTCACATCTGTTATAGGAAAAAAAAATATGCTGTTTATGTGTTAGCACTTAAATGTTTTAGGGAGCCGTGATCTTTACGATTGAAATAAAATTGTGTCTATTCCCCTCCCCTCTTAGAATCTGTTTGAATCGTAGGGTCTTTCTGCTATGGTTATGGCCCCTCTGGTCTTACATGGTGGGCATTAGTGCTAAAGATGTGAATTCCTGTCAGTCTTGGGCTTACTTCTTTCGGGGATGGTGATCACTATCCTCCACTGTCCTGAGTAATCTGCCATTCCGTGCATCTTCTGGGTCCTTGTTCAGTTAGTTCATTGTAGTCTTCCCAGACAGGCACCTGCTCTCCCTCTGGTAGCCTTTGTTGAGCCAGTAACCACTTATTTCTTCAGCATGAGCCACACTTTCCAAGCTTTCAGGAAAGTTTTTTTTGTTGTTGTTGTTGTTTGAAGCCAGGTTTGCTCGGTCTGTTGTTTTTGAGACCAGGCTCGTACCTGCCTCAGCTTCTTCAGTGTGCCCCATGACTCCTGGCTTAAACTTCGGGATATGTATTGTCTAGTTTAATTTTCATGTTCCTAGTGTGTGTGTGTGTGTGTGTGTGTGTGTGTGTGTGTGTGTGTTTTAATGAGGAAACTGAGAATTAGTAAGATTAAACAGGCAACAATTACTGAGCTTGGTGGTGAATACCTTTGATCCCAGCACTTGACAGAGAGAGGTAAATGAATCTCTCAGTTCCAGGCCAGCCAGGACTACATATTGAGACCCCGCCTTTAAAATAAATAGGTAACAGTTTGAGCCTAAAGTTATCTGGTTGCAGTATGTAAATATTCTGTCACCAATAGAAAAAGAGGGTTGGGGGCCGGGCGGCGGTGGTGGTGGTGGTGGTGGTGGTGGTGGTGCTGCTGCTGCTGCATGCCTTTAATCCCAGCACTCGGGAGGCAGAGCTAGGCGGATCTCTGTGAGTTCGAGGCCAGCCTGGGCTACAAAGTGAGTTCCAGGAAAGGCGCAAAGCTACACAGAGAAACCCTGTCTCGAAAAACCAAAAAAAAAAAAAAAAAAAAATAGAAAAGGAGGTTTGGGGCCAGATGGGTTAATAGGTAGAGGTGCTTGCTGTCAAGCCTAACAACCTCAGTTTGATCCCTAGGACCCACATGGGGCAGAGAGGGACTCTTGCAGGTTGTCCTCTGACCTCAAATAGCCATAGCATGTACCAACCCTCATACACACAAATAGAACTTTAAACATTAAAACTTGAAAGAAAAGTTTTATCAGAGCAGAGTAGACTTTGGTTATTGACATGTGTTCCCTTCATCTTTGCTGTCCTACAGTCCCTGGATCCCCACAGAGGAAGCACTCTGACGGAGGCCTCTGTCAGCAGAGCCAGAGATGGCATCAGTAGATTTCAAGACCTACGTGGACCAGGCCTGCAGGGCCGCAGAGGAATTTGTCAATGTCTACTACACTACCATGGATAAGCGGCGGCGGCTGCTATCCCGCCTGTACATGGGCACCGCCACTTTAGTTTGGAATGGAAATGCTGTTTCAGGACAAGAATCCTTGAATGAGTTTTTTGAGATGTTGCCTTCCAGTGAGTTCCAAATCAACGTGGTAGACTGCCAACCTGTTCATGATGAAGCTACACCAAGCCAGACCACAGTCCTTGTGGTGATCTGTGGAAGCGTGAAATTTGAGGGCAACAAACAGCGGGACTTCAACCAGAACTTCATCTTGACCGCCCAGGCCTCACCCAATAACACAGTGTGGAAGATAGCAAGCGACTGCTTCCGGTTCCAGGACTGGGCCAGCTAGTGGGGTGGGAAAGGCCTTGGCTTCGGCCGAGCTCTGCGGAGAGATGCAAGTCTCAGATCTCAGGATGTGGAGAACACAGTTCATTTTTGTTGTCACAGCAGCACTGCAAACTGGGTGTTTGACTCCTAGAAACCCCTTTCCTGGTTATATACTGGTTTGTCATGGTTGCATTTTAAAAGTAGTAAACTTTCTATTTTTCTACTTAATCAGTAGAAACCTTGTTTCTGGAAATTGACAAATAAATAATATAAATACTGCTTCTCTGCCTTATGTTTCTAAATTTTGAGAAGGATGGAGGAGCGTGGGAAAAGCAGAAAACATAGTAGGAAGCACCTATAGAGGTGGGAGGGTCCTGGATGAGCTCCTACCCCAGTCTAACCTTGGGGAATCCAGAGCTCTGGTTGGTAACCCTAACCACACTAGAATCCTCAAAACATTGGGAATTACCTGTCCTGGGCCATATCTCTAGCCAGTACCTCCACCACAAATAAGATATGGGCAATGGCATTTTATTTTTTCAAAAGCACCTTTGTCTTAATGTATGATTTATAAAAAAGATGATTCACCTGACAGTTGCCTTTGCCCTTAGCACCTGGGATGGTAGTTATGATAAATGTGAAGAGTTAGCTGATAGCAGGATGCTGCTCCTACTGGAAGCACCAAGGTTGGGAGGGAACATCAGAAGCTGTGACGACAGAGGACCCACCTAAAACTTACTTTTCAGTCTAAGTTATCACTAGATTTGACATGTGATTAGATTATGGCCAACGAAGCAGAAGCTGAAGGTTCGAACTGGGGAATTTTGTTTCAGTAAACCCTCATTTCCTCTCTGGCCACTGGTCATGGCTTCATCTGCAGTGACCAGACAGTCTGGCTGTGACCTAGAGGTAGAGTCCTCTTGAAGTACTCTGGGTCTCTGGCGACCACAACTGCCAGAGTAGCCCTAGTTAACCTATGATTATACTACTTTATGTCTTGGCCAGTCATACCCATGAAATAAGAACTCCAAAGCCACATCTAGAGCAGTCAAACCAGTCCTACAGACTTGGCGACAAGATGAGACTCAAAATTCAAGCTGAGATGCTACTAAAATGTATGAAATAGCAAAGTGAGGTTTCCACCATGAATTAACTAAGATCCATGAACACTAAACATGATCCCTTAGGAAGACACAGGGAAGAAGATTGGAGGAGAATAAGTTAGTGATTTGGAGGGACATGTTGCTGAGCTTTAAATATCACAGACTGTCACCAGAGGTGAGACCTTGATACAAATGCCCTGGAGTCAAAGAATTAAGTTCTTTAAACTCTATCATAACCGTCCAAAATAGCAAGAATAGAATAGTGTTCACCTTCCGGGCTTGGAACAGACATATTCTCAAGGTTCCCAATTTCCTGGCACTCTGGGAATGTTTGAATCTGAATTAACATGGTTCTCAAAGACAAGCTTTGCTCAATAGCCATTTTACAAACACACAACCCTCATTTTTTTGTGCTAGAGTCCTCCAATTCTCCCCTTTACCTCAGTTCTCCAGGTTCTTGTTCCTTACACCCTGCCCTGTCAGGGTTTCCCCTTCATCCCTCACACATCAACCCACCTTTCCTTTTGCTCTCCCTGCCCACCCTGCCCCACCAGAATGCACTTAACACACCCAGCTTTCACCACCAGGCTACCTGCTGTCAGACTGAAAACTAAGGAATGCACCCGGGAACCTGGAGAAAGTACTCAGAAAGGAGGGTACCTTCTTTTTTTGCTCTGTGACAGCCGCATTTTGTTTTGGAGCATTAAAGGCAAAGTTTGCTTTAAGCACAAATCCTCATTTGTAGTCTGTATTTCAGGTTCTCGGCTAGGGTGTCTGCCAAATTGAGAAGTCTGGATTCTGTTATAACCTGTATTTTGCTTTAACAAAGACAAGATGCTTTACATCTTTGGTGCTGCCTTGTTGGAAAAGTGTGAAAATAATCTTTATATTTAACAGTGAGGGCAAAATTAGTTAATTCTTTGCAAAGTTTTCTTTGTCATCAGCTGTGATGGAGTTGTAGTAATGACAAAACTGGACTCTTTATTTTCAAGCTCCCAAGGCTCTAGGGACATCTCTCTAATTCACACCTCCATGCCCTGGTCAGGTGTGTGGTCACTGTCCCTGGAAGGAACTGTGAGAAATGCTTTAGGATTGGCACTGAAGGGCAGGACTTTGGGGACCACAGTGGACAGGCTTAGGGGCTGGAGATGGCTCAGCAGGTAAGAGCACTTGCTGCTCTTCCAGAGAACCAGGTTCAATTCTTAGCATCTACATAGTGTTTCACAGCTGTTTGGAAGTCCAGGTCCAGGAGGTCTGATGCCCTTTCCAGACTCCATGGCCACTAGGCCCACAAGTGTCGCACAGACACACCTTCAGGCAAAACAGCCACACAGTAAAATTTTGTTAAAAGTGGGCAAACTTGATCCTGATCAAGTGTGACATCTTCACACTCACTGTTAATCCTCTTCTGGTGAATCCTGGCCAGAAAAAAGCTAGAAGCATAGGTCCAGCCTCTCTGGGGCAACCAGGGTAGTGTGGGGTATGGAGTCCTTGGGGGAATCTTATGCCCAGGTATCATCTGGTCAGCCTCAGGACATACCATATTCCAAGCACCTGTGAGGCAGGATTAAGCATCCACAGCTCACTAGGTTTTTTTGTGAGCAAACAGCATAAGACCTTGATCAGTGGGTCATGTTAATGCTGGCCACAGTACAGTGAATAGAAACAGTAAATACAGGAGGTGGTTTTTTCTAAGATGGAGGGGTCTCACAACATTGCTCATGTGTTCCTCCTGACTCCCCATGAAATAGCCAGGACTACAGGCACATGCAGCTGCACCCATGGTCTTGGTATTAGAAAAGTGTCTTCCTGTCATCGGTAATGTTTGCCTTCCCAGGGAGTTACCAATTTTACTGAGTTTTCAAAGAAACAGCTTGTGTCAGTGATTTTTCTGTCTTCAGTGTAGTTGGCCTTTGCTCTTTGTGATTTTCTTCCTCCTGCTTATTTTCAGTCTTTTTTTTTTTTTAAGATTTATTTATTTATTATGTAATCGGAAGAGGGCGCCAGATCTCATTACAGATGGTTGTCAGCCACCATGTGGGTGCTGGGAATTGAACTCAGGACCTCTGGAAGAGCAGTCGGTGCTCTTAACCTCTGAGCCATCTCTCCAGCCCTATTTTCAGTCTTTTTAAAGAATTCTTCCATTGAAGTGCTGAGATTAGCCTGGGCCACCACACCTGGCCTATGAGGTAATTATCACAGGCATCCTTTGTGAAGTGAAAATGGTGGGAACTCCAAATGTCCACTAATACGATTATTTTTAAATTATAATATTGCCACAAGGGAGATGATTGTGCAGTCTGAAAAAAGAAGGAGCAGACTTTTGTGTGATAAGATTCTTATGAAATATTTGAGTTTAGTAGTGAAAAAGCACAAACTCTTGGAGAATAACAGAAACATCACAAACGTCCCAAGAGCCGCTGAAGGTGTGTTCTACTATTTTCAGCTTATTACTGATAAGGTAATTGATTTGTGAATTTAAAATGAATTTATATATAGTAGACGTGAAAATTCTAGAAACATCGATCAAAAATTAAAGCTGTTTCTCAGGCACTGGCTTCTAGTATTTTAATAGTCAATTGCCGGGGCCAGCAGAGTATGAAGGAGAGAAAGGACACCTGCAAGTTGTTCTGATCTCCCCAACATATGGTCCTCTCCCAATGTAATTTAAAAAAAAAAAAAAAATGAGTCCTCTAATGTGTTTAAAATGCCAGAGATGAAGCGTTTGGGTTTTGGAATCTGCAAGAACAGTCCAACATGAGTAATGGAAATAGATAGCTTTACAAAAACACACCTATCTTAATTTGTGATTATCAAATGCACCTATGAGAAATGGCTTAAGTCGGGTTGTGTATTGGGGAAATAGTTTAAGTGATGATTTGAATTTGAAGCAGTTAAAGACTTGTGGCCTGTTAAAACTCAACTCTTTTTTTTTTTTTTTTTTTGGTTTTTCGAGACAAGGTTTCTCTGTATAGCTTTGCGCCTTTCCTGGAATTCACTCTGTAGCCCAGGCTGGCCTCGAACCCACAGAGATCCGCCTGGCTCTGCCTCCCGAGTGCTGGGATTAAAGGCGTGTGCCACCACCGCCCGGCTAAAACCCAACTCTTGAGCTGACACATAATTGACATACTAGAAAGTAACATCACTGGCAGGATTTTGGAGCCTGGTAATCGCACATCACTCCACCACTGCGTGGTTCCTCCATCAACGCCCACTCTCTGTGCCGCGTGGAGGCTCCAGCGTGGCTGTGTTTTAGAACGAGGGCTGTGCAACCTGGTGGGGATGTCAAAGGACCGCAGACCACCGCCACAGCCCCTCACTTGTCACCGTGATAGGATCGACACAACACACTCGACCTTTAGGACGGAGGGTGGAGCGTCAACACTCTGTGACCACCCAAAACCAATTGCCAGACTGTTCCCTGGGAAACGCAGCTACATACCACGTGACCTGGGCCCCCAGCTGCCTGAGTCTCCCAGAGTGAGGGACAACGCACCGCACCAGGCCGCTAGGCTAGGCCTATCTAGACCCTGGATGCTCACCATAGAGGTCGTGGCCTGGCTTGTTGGGTATTCCGGAACACGACCTGCATTATCTAACCTGCTGTTCACTTGTCTCCTTAGGACTGTGTATATTGTTTCCAAAGTTTCACCAAAATGAGCGCCTTGAAGTGAACACACACTGCAGTTGACTTCCATTTACTTCTTTAGGATGACTAACAAGTAGGGAGAGTTTTATACACACAGAGAAACATATGACCATCTTGGCTTTAACCCCCTCACTGCTGAGATTGCACTTTTTGTACTTAGGCAGGATCAAACACTGTTGAACTCTGTCAGTCTGACTGCATGCAGCGGCTTGTATGCTGCTGCATTTCCAGGGGATTCTTCTACTTGTACTCTATGAGAATTGTATTCCAGCATTCTTGATCTGCTGGTGATTTGTTGTTGATTTCCAGAGTTTCTTTGAGGTCTGTCCTGCTGTCTTACCATTGCTTCGGGGTAGTGCTTTGCCACAAGGATGTGTATGGGGCAGATGTGTAGTTCTGAAATCTAAGGTAATCTTAAGAAAAAGTTTAAGCCGGGCAGTGGTGGCACATGCCTTTAGGGCAGGCAGATTTCTATGAGTTCAAGGCCAGCCTGGTCTACAGAGTGAGGTTCAGGACAGGCACCAAAA